TTACCTTAGTTTTATAATAAATTTTACCGCATACTTAAGGAGTTAGGCCCCATAACATTTTTTTTTTCTTTTTTTCCTGAATTTTTTCGGGAATTTAGTCTATATACGAAAATTGAAAGAACAATGATTAGAACATTATAGGAAAGTTTCATTAAAATCGTTAGAGCCGTTTTTGCGCTACAGTCTATAGAAAAACATGCTTTTCATTTATTGCGCGCAAGCTATTGCGCATGGAGCACCGAATTTCTGTCACAGGCATCAGTAGTCAAAATCCTACAAAATAGGGGGTTCAGGGGGCTCTGAAACGTGTAGATCCGTCGAAAACCGCATGTCGGAAATTTGACCCGATTGCAATACTTTCCTTACTTAGTATAGGTAGAAAAGTATAAAACAGCTTGTTCTGTAAATAATATTTCAATTATTAAATGATCTTTTATAGGAAAGAACAATGTAACACAATCTACACCTAAACATTCTAACCTATTGATATAAAGCGCACCACTTCATAGTTTCTCCTTCCAAATTTGTTTTATTAATATTTAAGAATATTTTATTTTTATGTATACTGTGAAGTATAAAAATATGAAAAGTATGAATTGATTGGTCCATTTTCTATTTTATCAATTCTTCGATACTTTTATTTCGCTTAAGCATGGGTTTTTCATTGATTAGATTGTATTTCCAAAATGAATTACCGGCTAGATTATATTCTCAAACTACAAATCATGGACTTTGCAATATAGGTAATTATTGGCGATATTGACCCTCTTTGGCAGACATTTTCGTAAAATTTATTAAAGTTATTTTTTCTTTTTTTTAGTATTTTTCATTATTATTCTGATATGTTTTTAAATCTTTAATATGGTTTTAATAACAATGTAATTTGTTTTCTATTTATATGCAGTGATTCGGAAAATCAATGTATTTCTGCCTTCTCAATTAGTCTTCACAGTACAGTGGTTGTTCTTCATCCTTACCAATGGCGGTATCCAGTAGGTCCCTATTTCTCTGGTAACAGCGTTCAAAGATAGTGTTTTTTAGAATATAAAGACCATCTCTCCTGGTCTTATAACAGTCCAGGTCTCTGATTTCTGGATTTGTACCTGCCTCAGCATTTGATCTCTGCTGGAGATGGAAGATCTTCTCAGGTGATTCTCGAGGCCGAAATAGCACCTGTTGTGTTTGACGGGTCGTTGGCTGGTTTCCAGACAGATTTTGTTTCCACTCATTACTGACCCGCAGTACTTCTTCAGCTGGTCAACGTTCGAAAAAATAAACTAGTTCATCACTACCGCATCCGTTAACAGATTTCAATTTATTATCAAAAATAAAAGAACACAGGACAAATTAATCTTATTTTGGGATAAATTCCTATGCACTACAATTGGTGATTTGTAGACCCCTCTGAAGAGCCACAAACATTTATTTAAAAAAAAAATTATAGTGAGAGTTTATTCTACAACTATAGCACGACAGCTTCTTAAAATGTTGAAAAAATTCAACTTTTAGTTCATTTTTAATAAGAAGAATTTAGGGGCAAATGCCCCACTAGTCAAAAAATGCAAATTTTCAGGAACATGAAAAAATCCTTTATCTTAATCCCATTAATGGCAAAATTGTGTTGTTGTTTTTAATATAAAATCTGTAGCTATCAGGAACCAATGCAATCAGTGCCAATGCTGAGTTGTCAAATTCCATCCTCTGGCCGTGGTGGAAGAAATTTACTCAGACTTGTGCAGAATTTCACAAAAACTTCTTCTTCTTCTTCTTTTGCATCACCCTGTAGTGCCTTTCAGCGTAGGGAACCGTCTAACCAGGATTGCCAATTTTCCCTGTTTCTTGCAAGATTTCTGACTTGGCGTATATTTTTATTTCTATTTTATATCTATTTGCACAGGCGGTCTACGTATTCGAGGTACGACATTCTCGGTCTGCCGCGGGGTCTTCTGCCATTGGGGACGTAGTCCATAGACTTTAATGGATCTCTGTGTTCTTCCATCCTGATGACATCGGTCATCACAAAAACTTCACAAGTCGAAAATCTTTCATTATGTCGTTATCAGTTAAATGGAATAACTTACGTCGAAACTCTTGCTTATTTATTAAAATGATTACACAAAGGAAAATAGCCGAAGAAATGAGTAAATAATAAAGCATTAATATTCAGATCCGTCACTATTGTCATCATTGTCAATATCATGTTCGTGGATTTGTGAAGTTGAGGGCGCTGCTTCAGTGGTGACAAATAGTTTTGAGTGACTCTTTTCTCATTGGATGTTCTCGGAGGTACTCAGCAAGTTTTAAAACATCCTTAAGCTTTCCAGGTTTCAGTCGCAAATTTATCATTTTGGTATGGTAGTGTGGCGCGACCAAGCACCATGGTAAGAGTGCCGCAACATTTTGTTCATCACTTTTGCTCGGTTTCGCGGCCACTGATGACCATTTTTGTCCATGGGTCGGTTTGATATAATGGGAAAAGGTAAGGAATTGTGATAATTTTGCGTTATCAATAATCCATTACCACATATCAACAGCTCAGGAGACCGTTCTGGCTGTGGCTGAAGGAAGCATCATAAACAAGTGGGATTCTTGCTCGAAATCTTCCTGACTTTGGATGGGGTTTCTGCTGAATCAGAATATTTTCCGTGGTCTGTACAATCCGACAGCTGGGGTTTTTGATAGATTTGATTAAATAGTCATGTGAGGAATGTCGTACACGAAACGATGGTGGCTTTACAAATGTTTGATTTTTGTGACTAGTGGAACTTTTTCTATCAGCTCCTCAATTGTGAATAATATTACAAAAAGTAAATCATCTGAAATTGTAGATTCATTGGATGAAATGTATGAGTTTTAAAGCATTAAAATAAGCTGTTATTAAATAAATATCAAACTAGAAGTTGAGTTTTTTACCTTTTTTTTTCAAGATAATTTATTTCATATTTTATTGAAAAGAAACAAGGTAGTGTTTTAAGTCCTCTTCAATTTACTATCTACACATCTGATATCCCTGAGCACCCTAGCACCATACTCTATAGCTTTGTTGACGATACGACAATACTTTCTTCTCACAAAAATCCCACTATCGCTTCAATAGCCCTTCAAAATCATCTGCACGACCTTGAAAAATGGTTTCACAAATGGAGAATTAACATCAATCCCAGCAAGTCAACTCATGTTAGCTTCTCTCTGAAGAAGATCTCGTGTCCTACTGGGACAATAGACAATAAACCAGTTCCCTCAAAAACACATGTACGGTATCTCGGACTATACTTGGACAAAAAACTCACCTGGAACTTTCACACTAAATTAAAAAAACATGAACTGACCAGACGATACAAACAAGTGTCACATCTTTTAGACTACAGATCTCCACTCAACTTACTAAACAAGCGACTAATCTACACCACTATACTAAGACCTATTTGGACATACGGAGCAGAACTTTGGGGTTCCGCAAAACACACACACACATAAACGAAATTCAAACCACACAATCCAAAATACTCCGTAAAATCGTCAATGCTCCTTGGTTTATTTCAAATCACACCATACACAAAGACATGAACATACCAAAAGTAAAATCCTACATTCACAACAAATACACAACATTTCATTCTTCTACTCTCAATCATCCAAATCCACTCGTTCTGTCTCTATCTTCGTCCCTGTTACCAGGTGAGCTTCAAAGACGACTAAAAAGGCAGTGGCCTAGAGATCTCCTGAAAAGTTCAGAAGATATCAGTAATTCAAGAAGATATAATTAACGCCATCACATTTGCTTGATGCGTTCCAATGCAGTGGCAAATTTAAAATAACAAAAAAAAAAAAATAATAATGAATAAATCATTTATAAATGATCTAATTTCTAATGAAAACAGAATTAATTTCTTAATCTAAAATTTTATTTTTCCATTTGTTTGATGTTGGATCTCCAGGAATTTCCCCGCCTCTTCTAAAGTGCCTCCCGGGTTGAGTTCATTCTTTGCCCCCTGCCACCTCTCCCTCTACGCTACGCCACTGCTTAATAAGTTAAAAGACCTAGAGTCGACGCGCTATCTGTTAAAAAAAGTGTGTGTTTTCCACAGTTGTAGCATGGATTAGATAAGAAATGAACCTTCCCAAACAATGTAAGCTTCCGTATATTCTTGTATAGGCCTGTTACAGTAGTTAACGTTATCTTTGTAGAACTGGTTCGTAGCCATAGTAAAAAAACAAAATACATTTTCATGAAATTAATTAATTAATCTACACCTGAAATAGTAAATGTATAAGTATGTTTGTTGCAGCATCATTTCCCAACGGCTACTGTGATTTTAATGGAAATAAATTTCTTTATGTTTATAAGAAATAATATAAATTTCCTATATAGTAAATTCTCTTACTTATTTCCGTCTGATAGCCGAAATTAGTTCTTTATCTATAAATAATGTCTTTCTCTTCAGAAGAAGGAGTCATTAATAATCTGCGAGATGGTAATATAGGACTGGCAAGTACCAGATAGCTAATTGGTCCTACTGTAAAGAAAGAGACCAGGTCCCTGGGTCCAGCTGGCAGCTACCCAGTTGATAGTATCAACATATATAATTAATGCTTTCTTATCCAATAGCTTATATTCCTAGTATAAAGGCCATGGCAAAAAAATATTTTTGTTCCTGCTTTACATTTATTACGTTTCATATTTTCATAATTAATTCTATAAGAATGTTTTTGTCTCTACTACTTTTGTCAATGTTTACTTTTACTGCGTCGTTAATTTCCTGTGACTACAGTAGGCTTTATGGGGTCATTTACACTTTTAAAACGCACGTGCAATGTCAGAAGAAAAAATTCGTGATTCGCAGTCTTTCGACATTACTGGAAAAAAGGTCTATGCATCAATGCAGCCGCCGAAGAAATTTGTACCATAGAAGGAAAGTCAGTTATCCATCGAAATACTACCACACTTTGGTTCAAGCGTTTAAACAACATGAGAATATGAGCCTTGTAGAAGAACCCAGATCAGGCCACCGACCGGTTGTTGATGATGTTCTTCTTAAATCTGTGAACCGGTACCCGCATGCAACTACTCGTGATATATCGGTCGTAATATGGGCTTCTAATGCCACAGCGGCTCGTCATCTTAAAAACATGGTCATTCGGTATTTAAGGCCAATGCCCTACCAAAATGACTTCACACAGGCTTAAGCCCAACTGCGACTTGATATTTATAAAATTTTGCTGCAAAATCCGAAACTGCTATCTTTCTGCAAAAAAATATCACAAGTTACGAAAAGTAGATATTTTTAAAAAACTCTAACAAACATAAGAAGTCGGTATATTCAGATGAACCTGCACAACCGGAGGTTCGCCAAGATCGGTTTGAGAAAAAAATGATGTTTGTATTTTGTGAAACGTCAATGGCGTCTTGCATTTTGAACTTGTTCCTGATGGTCGTGCAGTGGACTCAAATCTTACTTTACTGTGAATAGCTGGACAAAATTTATGCAATTTTTAATGCAAAGTACCCCGCTTTGGTCAACAGGAACCAAGCCATTTTGCAACACGACAATATTCCTGCATATCGTTCTCGTTTGAGCAAAAAAAGATTAACGGAACTGCTTTAACAGTAAATGTTTCGCCTCATCCTACCTAGGTATTAGACAATCTGATTATATTTTGTTTAGACCAATGGGTCATTTTAAAAGGTCGTTTTTTTCATAATTACAGCGACGTAAAAATGGGATGTGAAGAGTTCATAAAATAATAATAATAAAATCTTATTCAGGCCAATATTAGCGAAGATACAAAAAAAAAAATTATGAAGTGAAAACTTCTTTAGGCTCGTTTTGCACTTTTTTTTATTGAATGTAAATTAGATTGATTTTATTGAATGTCATTATTGAAATTAGATCTCCCGTCAGATCTCCAATGTGTGACGCTCGGGTAAATTCGGCTAGAGTCTAACTAGAGTTGAAGTGTTTGTGCATATGGATTAAAATATCTGAAATACTAAAAATCGGACCTGCATATTGTTAACGAGGAAAATGTTCATCCTCTTTGTAATGAGCTATTACTCAAAATTGTATCTTAACGCGACGCCGTGGTAAACAGCCAAAAAAAGGGGGAAAAATAGTGTCGAAAACCAAATGATAAGGAGTTTGATTGAAGATATGGATTAAAATATCTCAGAAACTAAAAATCGAACCTGCATACTGTAAGCGAGAGAAATGTTCAACATTTAACCGCTTTATGATGAACTATTATTTATAATTTATATTTCATATTATTAATCTCGCCTTATTGATGTTTTTACTTCTATCGTATCGTCTAAAGCACACACCTAAGTGTTGTTTTTTTTTCAGTATATTATTTCAATACCATTGTGTGATCTAACTAAAAATTCTAAAATTTAACCTCGTCTCAAAATTCGAGGTTTTACGTTTCAGAATACGTAGAATTCGAAAAATGAATAGAAATGTTTTGGCCGTCCGCCGTTCGCGCATTTTTCCGAAATTACTGGACCGATTTTATTCAAATTTGGATTTGAAATTAGAGGTCACCGGAGAATGATCCTCCCTCATCGACATTTCTACCCGCCTTTTGCTTTCAAGATGGCGACTACGTTGCTATAGACTGTAGCTCCTAAACGAATGTACTGATTTCAATGAAACTTCGTTAAACTCTTCTTCTCGATTCACTTTAAATTTATCTATATAACATACTTCAACGAAAAAAATCTGGAAATAAAGTTACGAGGGATGGTATAATTAGATTCCGAATAACTAAAAAAGTATACACTTGTTTGTCGATATTGTAATAAAATGTTTCAAAGGTATTTAAATTTCCTAAAAAATGAAGAAAGTTTCATCGAAATCAAAGCACTATTAGTAAAGATATCGCGATTTTTGAATGTTTTTGGTTTATTATTTTCAATAATGAAACATTGTGATAAAACAAAAAATTCAAAAACTTAACCCTCTCTCAAAATTTGAAGTTTTACTTTTCAGGATACGTAGAATGTACCGATTTCAATGAAACTTCGCTAAAGTCTTCTTCTCGATGCCCTTTAAATTTATCTATATAGAATACTTTATTTAAAAATTTACAGACATTCCTAAAAAAAAAATCGGACAATCAGGAGCAAAGATATGGTCCTTAGATGTTTTATTATAATGCAATGGTTATATCCTTTGTTTTGGTTTTTGAATGTGTTACTGAATTAATGCTAATTTTTTTTTTAACATATTGCTAAAGATTAAAAAAAAATGTTTAGTCCAATTATTGGATTCACATTTTATTTCTTTTTCTTAGTCTCTAGAAAGGTAATGTTACTTTAGATATATAATCGTTGGAAATAATAAACGTTTGTAAAATAATTTGCAGCATTCTTGGCGTTTGTATCAAAAGTAGTAAGGAAAGTTGTATGCGTGGACACACAAGACATTTTTTTTTCTTACATCAGGAATATTGGTTTAGTTTACTTTTCTAAAACCGTGGTGATAGCTATAGATAAATATAACTGTTCCATTTGCTTTGATGTTATTCATTTGATGTTTTCCTTGACTACTAGGACATGGACGCTGTGTGGGACGCCGGAGTACTTGGCGCCTGAAATAATTCAGTCAAAAGGTCATAATAAGGCAGTGGACTGGTGGGCTCTTGGTATGTATTATTGTGATGTCTCAATCAAAACTGTATTACATATTTCTACATCTATTGCAATATCTAGGAAAATAGTATTATAGAATTCTGCAGTTTAAATTAATCCAAACGGTACACTATACCATTAGAAGGTTACCTAAACTACAAGTAATTCATCATTTTTTTTTTCAAGCAAGATGACTTTTATTTTTTGTCCTTTTATATTTAAATTTGCAGCATTAAAAGAAGAATTAATCGAAAATGATTCATTTCGAGAAGGAGTTCTTATATGAGAAATCATTGTAAGCTTCCTGTATGAAAGGAATTTCTTTCAACCTTAAAAACAAATTCATATCAAATTACTTATTGCTTACTTGGAATATATCTCATAAGACATTTTTTACTCTCTTCGAGAACTTTTGTAATAAAAATTACAAAAATCATCAGCTAGCTATGTTTTTTAACATTAATAGATTATGATAAAGACATATTTAATAATGAATGCCATGGGTTCTAGACTTTATTCCAGCAAGTTCCATAAGGCCACACTAAACAGCGTCTGTGTCGCTGGAACAGATTACACGTGTTCGTTATATTCTATTTAAAATTATATATTCAATTCATGTTATACTTTTTATTCATTTAACTGATCTATTTTGATCTTTAAAAGCAAAAAAAAAAAAAAAAAAATCTAAAAAAGTGTTTATATCTTTACATATGTTCATGAAGAAACAAAAAAAGAATTGAACTAGATTTAGCTCTACAAAAAGTCTATAAAAGTCCGGTCAATGACCTTAATTCCTTACGAAGAAGGATAGTTAAATTTTGTGAAACAATAACACATATCCAGTGCCGTTCTCTCACTGGTGCTGTCAAAGAAAGATGACATGCCTGTCTTAATGCTGAAGGAAATCGCTTTCAACAACATTTAATATTTATGTTTAATAAAGTAGTTAAAACAAATAAATAAGTTTTATTTACTTAATATAACGTAAATAATTATAACCATGAAAAATTTTAGGTGTGAATATCTCCTAAACATAGCGTTTGCGGACATACCTTCATAATAATTATTTTTCTTGTTTTGAAGTCCTTAATTCATATTTTCAGTTTGGCCACTTAACCCTGGCCACGCCCTTTATATATATTTTACCATTTTGGGGGATGGCTTCGGCCTGAAAGTTTCCTCCCCATAGGTTTGGCTTTGTGAGGGAGGAGGGATTGCTCAAAAATGGTTTATAAGATTCATTCCATAGATTCACCACGAAATAAATGGTTTGGCTCAAAGGTTTGGAATGGTGGAGGTGATAGGTTAGGATCCTGTATGGATTAAAAAAAAACAAGTATTTAAATTCTACAAATTAAATGTTCCAATAGCTGCGTTTTCATTTTCGTGTCAATTGTCTTCACCATTTTATCTGCCTGGCATTTCTTAATAGATCTATTTATTAATACATACTTGAGGAAAATACTTAGTATCTATTGGCATGAAATAAATTCCAACAAGGGACTGGGGTAAATGGTTAAACTATTTAACCCTGTGGATTGCCAGATCAAGAAAAGGAAATGGAAGTGGACTAGTTATTCTCTAAAAAACGAGAACTCAACAGTGAAATATGCACTTGATTGAAATCCCCAGAGTGCTAAAAATAGGAGGAAATTCAGAAACACATGAAATAGCTTGTTGATGAGAAAGATAAACTAATTGGGAAAGCAATGGAACAATGTGAAGTATATGAAAGAGGATAGTGATGACAATTAATGGCTGCCCTTGGCTCCCTACCTTAGCCGTAGCTTTAGAATTTACTGATGTAAGACTAAATAGGAGACACTATAGTCCTAAAAAGCACAAATAACACAAAAAGAAAACAATAATCAATTTAGTTAGGAATGATACCTTCTATAAAATTAAATAAATATACTTCTATGTAAGGATTACAGGTGTTTTGATTCATCATAAAAAATAAAAATAAATTTACCATGAATAAGTTTAATATTTCTATTCCAGGTGTCCTTATTTATGAAATGCTAGCTGGTTACCCACCATTTTTTGATAAAAATCCTTTTGGAATTTATGAGAAAATCCTAGCTGGCAAGATTGAGTGGTCTCAGCACCTAGATCCTGTTGGTAAAGACCTAGTCAAAAAATTGCTTGTCCAAGACAGAACTAAGAGGCTTGGTAATATGAAGGTATGCACATTTAACTATGCATTATTAAATGATATTTAATCAGTAATAATATATATGTAAACAAATTAATAAAATACAAGAAATATAGCAGGAAGATTTATATATATATATATATATATATATATATATATATATATATATATATATATATATATAATTTTTCGTTACTTTATTATATATAGTATATATTTTTTAAATCATAGTAATGCTTTATTTTCTTAATAAGACTAATAAAAAAAATATTCCAGAATGGTGCTGACGATATCAAACGGCATCGATGGTTTAAAAACATCGATTGGGGAGATGTTGTGTTGAGAAAGTTAAAGGTATGTCAAAAGTACACCTCAGTTATAAAGGTTATTGAAAATTTAGCCATATTTCAAACTAGCCATATTCAGCCTCAGAATTAAAACATTTCCAAGATTAACGTTTAACATTTTGTCTCAAAAATTGATATTTTGTGTTTTGGCTGATGCTAATCCAGTTTCTGGTGGATAGGCTTTTCTTTAAATATATATTATTTAATTTTCAGCTCTTAAAAGAAAGAAAAATCAGTCATAAATTATGACCTTATTTTTCTCATTCTTTCTTATCAACTTTTTTTATGTGTTACTTTGAACGCTCATCCCAAAATAAGACAAAGTATTTCTTAAAACAATTATACTTCAGAAATTAGTAGTATTTCTTTTTAATGTTTGGGGCAATAAAAATAACAAAAATTTTCATGTCTGAGTTAAATGGAAATATTTAACAAACATGAAGTTCTAAACTGAAACTCTTTTCTTTATAGATGGAAACATTTTCATTAATAATAAATGAGGCAGCCTTTAACAGTATTCATCGGTAATGGCAATATTAATTATTACATAAATAATCTAGTGATCAGTTGTAAACATGATTTTAGATCACTTAGATTGATGAAGATATTTATTACGAAATAGATTACTTAAATGTTAAATATCTTGTGAAAAATGTTGAATTTTATCAGGAGACGGTGAAAGAAGGGGTGGTAAAATGAAGCTTGTCCCATCCTGATGAAAATCCTAGTTCCAACCCTGCTTACATGTAATTTAATAATTTTTAGAAAAGATCTATAACAATTTTATAAATCCCTCGATCTTAAAAGTTTTTTACCAAACCCTTAACCCAATTGGGCGGGATGCTATGAAACCAACTGCAATATCTATGCTGTCCATGATCAACTCGTTTATACTTAAATCTTTCAGTTTTTATTTTTTGTTAACAAACCTCCATCATTTGTAACACATCTTAACGAGTTATAATTTATGTTTAATTTTATATCCTTATTCCAAGCAGACCTTGACTGAATTTGTTATTATCACTAATGAGTTTGCTACTGATTGTACCATTTTTATTTTTAAATAAATTTTAAATGATAAAATTTTTCCAACACAAAATTGTAAATAATACCAAAGATTTTATAAGACTTTTTTTGTTATTTCAGGCTCCTATTGTGCCAACAGTTCGATATGATGGAGACACATCGAATTTTGACTTCTATCCTGAAGCAGATTGGAAGTCAGTGCCTTCTGTTGGTAAACAAGAGGAGCAACTTTTTTCAGATTTCTAACCTCCTGTACATATATAAATATTTTATACTAATTATATGTTCTAATTTTATTAGATAAATAATAAAATATACTTTTTTAAAAAAGTGTACTTTCTATTTTTTTTTTTTTTTTCTTCCCGAAGGAGTTACTGTATTTACAATTGATAATATGCATGGGTTATAACAAATACTTTAAAGACCTCTGGCCACAGATGCAAAGAACGCATACAGCGTGCAGAGCCCTCTTAACTTAAAATGCCCTTGGGCAATAAAAGGAAAGTTGAAAATTTATGTATATATACATTTATATACATACTGAATTTATTCAAGAAATTCCTGGGGGGTAGGAAAAAAAAAAAAAAAAAAAAAAAAAAAAAAAAAAAAAAAAAAAAAAAAAAAAAAAACTTTAAAAAAACAACAAGTGTGAAAATGAGCAATGGAACAGGCCGCTGTGACCCAGGATTTTTAGGTAATACTTCAGAATTTTAGAGCTAGGACCAAGAATAGAATCTGAACTGGAAGGTTAAACTTTTATTTCATGGGCTACAAAAGGAATAAATTTCAGCCTTCTTACTTTGACTAGAAAAGGTTAGTAACATGACCTTCAATGCTCAAATGTGGTGCATGTCATTATTTCTTTCCCCATGATATGCCTTACAAGGAGGGTGGAGGATCAACATCCTCCTAGTCAAAGCAAAACTTGAAATGAATTGTGAAAGCCAATGATTTGGGAAAACCTTATTTGTTTATTACCATGGTATTATGGTAAAAGAGTACTTTCTCAGTACTTACACTTTTTTAATCATTCATCGCTGGATCTATTACTTATTCATATCCTCCCAGTAATCCTTTTTCCATATATTGAGGGCCTTACACAATCCTTACTAAAAATTTTCAGTTTTCTCTCTTATATAAATGTTTAAATTTTCCTAAGGTTAAACATTGTGTTTATTGCACACATTCAATTATAAAAAAGAATGATTCTATCATTACTAGAAATGTTCACTTATCTATTATTAAAAGTATATATACATATCTGATGATATAGTTAAAAAAGGAATCTCCAATTACAAAACAAAAATTTTCCATAAGTTTTACAACAATAAGCTTACATACATTTGTTATATAATAATACAAAACAATTCCCTCCAAAAGACTAAAACTGAAAACAGCCACTGATCCCATTACCACTCCAACAACAATACCTATGCCTATACTTATGAAGTTATTATTTTTTTTTTTTTTCGGGATTCTTTTATTTCAATTATTAATAAATCAATAAACGAAATATGCAGCGCAAAATCAATCTCAATTAATTTTAGTGTTTTGTAGGATATCCTTTCGCATTTATCACTACACTTAATCTTCTTGCATCGATTCCACCTACCTCTTGGCCTCTTCTGGTCCAATTTCTTGAATTAGTAAGTCATTCCGACAAGAACAAGAATATTTTGGAATTTTCAATTCCAGTAGCGCCCAGTAATTTTCAAATGGATTAAGATCTGGTGATTGTGCAGGTGTTGCGAACTTTATATAGCAGCAATTCTTTGGCTTTATTGGCAGTGTGATTGGTATTGTCCTGCTGAAACAAATAGGTGTCCTACATTCCTAACTTTCGCACACTTTTATTTTAATTGCATCGCAACACGCTCATATATTAGTGATCATTCATAATCCCGTCAATAAAGGCTAGTTCACCAACTCCTTTGGTCACCCATACAGCCCCAAACCCTGACACTGTCCCCTCAGTGCTTCACTGTGGATTGTTGATTTTGGGGTTCAAATGCCTTTCTTGTTTTCCTTCAAACTTTTTTTTTTTTGTCAGATCCAATTGTATTATACTTGCTTTTATTCAAAAACAAAACAATTTCCCAAAATGTGTTGGTTTTATTTACATGTTCTTGGGCAAACACCAACCTTTTTTTTTTCGTTTATAAAAGATTTTTTTTCAACCACTCTACCTCTATAACCAGCTTCATGTAAACGATTCTTTAAGGTTTAGGGTGTTTTAGATTTCCCATAAACTGATGCGATATGAGCCAAAACCTCTCGAGCACTTAATTTGGGATTGTTGCCACTGTACGTTCAATTTCACTAGATGCAACAAGCATTTCCGCCTTTGGCGGAAAAGGAAGTGAAAATAACAAATGCAATTGTCTTCTCTCTGATTGTTGTCTCCTGGGCTTTAGCCAGATTCAGAGTATATAAAGTCCCAGTAGGAGACCCGTTTGTGGATTCTAGCGCATTACGACACCAATGATGACAGAAATGTTGTTATTACTGCAAGAAGCAATCCTTTTCATAGTACCCGACAGAGCCTAAATGAAGTGTCCAATGTTCTGCCAAGGCCCATATCAACACAACTCATTCCTAATCGTTTGTGAGAAGTTTGTCTAACCTTTTATACTTCTTTAAAATGATCTGAAGCAACTGTGCGTCGTCGGCAACTCCGCAGATTATGGTGCAGCGAGCGCCTAAATGAGGATTCAAATCGTAATGCTGTAATGTTTATAGATGAGTCGCATTTCTGTTTGTATAGCGATGGTAGGTGTCCAAGAGTCTTCCGAGAATAGTTTGTGCTTTCTTCAATGCAGTCTAGAGGTGGAAATGTGCTGGTATGTGCCACCATCTGCTCAGAAGGACGGATTCTCAACTCCATATTGAGGACGGTAATCTTGTTGCAGTTCGTAATGTACAAGCAATTATAGAGGAGTACTTATCAGGATCATAATTGGCACAGTTTTCCATCTCAGAAATCCATCACAGACCTCATTAGAGAAAAGTTGTTTATAAATGTCTTGAAATCTCGACATTTCACACCTGCCCTTTCCCGTACTGTCTCCAGATCTCAAGCCCATTGAGCACATATGGGATGAACATGTGTAAGATGCACTGCAAGAGGGCTGTTTGACCACCATCTGCAGCTTCTTAACTTTCAGCAACTGAGATCCCATATTACTATCTGTATGGTAAGAAATTCCTTGTAGAATGAGTAACATTATAAATAGTAAGCCCAATAGGTTGAGCCTAACATAATACATTAGACAAATTATTAAGTTTTTCAAAATTTTTATAATTTCCAATCATAAAAACATAATCAAAAAACTTTTTGTTTTTTTATATTTTTAAAACACCTTTTATAAAATTTCTCGAGGGCAAACAAAATCTTATTTGTATAATCGTACATAACTAACAATATTTCAATTCATTTTTGAGCAGTTTATATTCAACAGTTAGCTCTAAACATTAAAATAAAATATAGGAGTTGATGATCTGAGTGTTTTACGCCTCTAAGGAAAAAAATTATAGGACTGTCATACTTCACAGATTTGTGAAATTTATGTATGAGTTTATCAAGTCTTATAATTTTCAGTAAAGTTACATAGATATTACATTTATACTTTGGCGTTAAAAACTTTAGAATCACCAATAATTTACATGAATTAATAGTCTTTAATCACCAAATCCTTAATTACACGCAAGAGAGATGCATATTAAGTACAGTATACCATATATCGAACTGGATTGCCTAATAATTAATTTTATTAGTTAGTTGTTAGCAAAATTATTCATATTTCATAAATAAGAACCTAATATTTCAATTATGTTGATAATCAATACGTTCTATAATTTAGAGATGTATATATAGTTATGTATCTGTAGATATTTATATGCAAGCTGATAAAATCATGAGGATTAGAAATTATCAGGATTTGCAGTCTATAGTATTGTACAATATTCCACACAACGACTATATATCTTGATTTTTGTAATCCCCGTTCTAATAATTCATGAGTATAAATTATGTTCGTTGGCCTTTAGGTTTATATTATATTCAGATTTTGTCCTGAAAGAGATAAATATACATACTTTTGACGGTAATTTAATTCAATGTTCCTTAAAATCACGAATTTAAAATGTTTTCAATTTTTATACTTTATTTTGTTTTTATCCTATGAAAATAAAGAATTTTCGATTGGACTACATTGCGCGATTTCATACTACACAAGAAAAAGAAATCAGAGCGATAAATTGTCGTGGAACTTAATACATCAAAATGTTACGTTATTAATATAATTGCAAGCTATAAAGAGAATTTCATTGATTATACAGCAGTATACTGATCAAAACATTCATCTAAAATTACAACCAAAGGGTATAGATCTTTTAAATATTATACATATATATATATATATATATATATATATATATATATATATATATATATATAATATATATATATATATATATATATATATATGTTATTAGCTATATATATATAGCTGAGATTACGCTCCATCTTCTCAAGACCGTAACGCAGTTAATATTATTGAAGCAATATAATTAGAAAAAATATATTGAACGGGCCCCTCAAAAATGTCTGTAATATAGATTCAATATTATGTCAGTTACGATCTTGCTTTCTCCCAAGAAGTGAATAATGTGAATTTCACAATTATCTAATTGCCTTGATTATGGCATAAACAAATAAGACTATAATAAAAATATCTTCCTATATTATTTTTAAAATTAACTGTCAATCCATAAATATTACTTTCCATAATTCTACCAACCAATTATTTATCAATTGTTTATTTTCAATTACATTCTTATGAGCATGTGTAGGAATTAAATATAATGTATTTTACTCACCCTATAATATAATCTTAAAATTTGTGTGATATTTAAGGTTTAGTTTGTTCCTAGACTATAAAATGTTTATTGTTTCAAATTGATACTTTTCTAGAACCCTAATTTTTTTTTTTTTTTTTTTTAGTAATAAAAGGTGAAAAACTTTGATAGTTTCTCTTTAGTTTCCTATCTCTTTTAAAAGCTTAAGGTGCGTTTAGACATTTCACAAGCTATGGTACAAACAAATATAGGCTGTTGCCCAAAAACGATGTTAATTAAACTTTCCTCTAATTTTCTGCTTAAAGTCTTTTTAATTTTCGTATATTTAGTCTATGCTCGAGAAAATCCAAGAAAAAATTTATAAAGAAAAAAAAACTGTTTTGGGGAGCTAACTCATGCTATCGGTTTTCAACGGATCTTAACCTATCAGAGCCCTCTGAGTCCTAATTTGAAAGGTTATTAAATTTCTGAGAAAAATATCGA